ACAGCTCCAAATTTCAAAATAAGGCACTATTCCAACAAACCCCCCTTAACAGGAAAATAGCAAGCGCTTTTAAAGATGCGGCATTGCTATTTCAGGATACATCCTGTATCCCGAAATAGCAATGCAATCTAGACGTACCCTAAGAGAGGCCGATTAAAAGAAAAAAGTATAAATCCTAACTTTGCCCTAATTGTCTAGCATACAGCCAGGAAAATAGTAATATTCCAGACTAACTCCTGACTGCCAAGAAAAATGCCCTTATATGAACAGAATTGCTTCAGTCATTGCTAAGCAGAAGTTCAAATGGGAAAAGCTGCAGTCCGGGGAAGAGGGAGGGGTGTCAAGACTCCTGCGTCCTCTCCTCTGAGTTGCTTATATTCCTAAAACCCTGCTACAGAAAGACAAGACCCCTCCTCCCACTCTCCCTTTAACATCCAGAGCCAGAAACACTGAGTGAGAAGCATGAACTGAATTCACAAGTCATGACCACCTTCCAGCCCCTTCCCAAGCATGATAAGCCAAGGTATTAATCAAAGAGCTTTTAAAGAAGAAAAGCAGCTTAAGGTAGTCTTAACCCTGTGTATTATGGCGCTCTGCCAAGCAAATCAACTGGCTGTGTTCAAGGCAGATTGATTCAAATGAAAAAATTTAAAATCACAGATTTTAGTCATGATTTAAATCACTAAGCAGTAAACCTTGAATTTTTAAAAAAATAATTTTAAACTTGTTTTGTATTTGTACTACTTAGTTATTTTCCTAAAGAAAAATTGATTCGCACTGGTAACCATTAAAACATAGTCTTTACACACTAATTTTGGGATTTCTTTTTGCTAGCCAGGAAGATATACAGTATCTATACATGTTTATTTAAGCTGTTACATGAATGTATTTATGCAAGATGACTCATAAGATATCACTGGAAAAAATTATGATTTACTGAATGTGAATGTCACCCACAAGTAGCCCTACAGGTACAACAATGAAAAAGCCAGACAGGGCTAAAGACCTATTAAGCCAAAACAACGGACTCTGATTTAGTTTAGTCTTCCTGCAGACACTAGAGTCATGCTGTGGTAATGGCTACCACAGCTATGCCGAGACATCAGTCCTGTCACCTGGTACTAAATACCACAGAATCATAAGATTTTAGAATTGGAAGGGACCTTGAGAGGTCATCAAGTGTTCAAGTCCCCTGCACTCATGGCAGGAACAAGCACCATCTGGATCATCCCTGACAGGTGTCTAACCTGCTCTTAAAAATCTCCAATGATGGAGATTCCACAACCTCTCTAGGCAATTTATTCCAGTGTATAACCACCCTGACTGCTAGCGAGTTCACCCTGAAGTCCAACCTAAACCTCCCTTGCTGCAATTTAAGCCCATTGCTTCTTGTCTGGTAAGACAAGAATAATTATTCTCCCTCCTCCATGTAACACCCTTTTAGGTGCTTGAAAGCAGCTATATCTCCCCTCAGTCTTCTCTTTTCCAGACTAAATAACCCCAGTTCTTAAGTCATAATTTCTAGATCTTTAATCATTTTTTGTTGCTCTTCTTTGGACCTTCTTCAATTTTTCCAAATCCTTCCTGAAATGTGGCACTCAGACCTGGACACTGTACTACTCTGTGCTGATTAGGACTCAGCTGGAGATCGGAGTAATTACTTCTTGTGTCTTACAACACTCCTGTTAATACATCCAAGAAGGTTGATTGATTTTTTGTAACAATGTCACACAGCTGAATAATATTTAGCTTGTGCTCCACTATGATCCCTAGATCCCTTTCTACAGTATTCCTTAATAGACAGTCACTTCCCATTCTGTGTGTATGATACTGATCGTTCCTACCTAAGTGGAGCACTTTGCATTTGTCCTTATTGAATTTTATCCTATTTACTTCAGGCCATTTCTCCCGTTTGTCCAGATCATTTTGAATTAAAATCCTATCCTCTAAAGCAGTGTTTCTGAAAGTGTTCTGTGAAATCACTTTCAGAAACACCTTAACTGGCCACCCCGGTTTGTTTATTTACTGGCATCATGGCCACGGAGCCTTGCGACTCCCATTGGCTCCATTTCGTCCTTTGCAACCAAGGGGAGTCACAGGAAGCAAAGACCAACAAATAGCAGTTCCCCAGTTCCAAAGGCCCAGGCCCTGGTTCAGATTGGGACAGCAAAGTACACAGTCCCACAGTTAGTAAGGCCTTGGGCCCTGGTTCAGGGCGGGGCAGCAAAGCACAAACAGTCCACAGATTCAGTAGGCCCCAGGCCCCAGTGCAGGGTGGGACAGGTAAACAAACAGCTGACCACTGGCAAGAGAGAAGGGGAGACTGCCATCCAGTATGTGGGGTGGCAGGGGGGACACAAGCCCTCCCTACTCCACTGCATCCCAGCCCAGAGCCCTAGCAATGGCAGCCCTGGTGGCCACTATGGACAACAGAGATTCGACCCACAAGACACTTACACCATATACGATGATGAGGTCAGCCTGACTGTTGTCAGCTGCCCCGGGCCACTTCCTAGCTCTCCCCCCGCCCTCCGACATCTTCCTGGCTCCTTAATGGCTGCAGGTTCTTGGGATCGTCATAGTCTACCCTCTACCAAGGTAAAGGCCCAGCGGTTAAGGACGATCCTCAGCGTCAGCAATGCCCTCTGCTTGGGAGCTCAGGGCAGGCCTCTGCTTCCTCTGGCAGCTGGGGCTTTACTGAGCTCCTGGGCTGGGCTTTTATACTACTCGCCCGCCTCTTGACTTGCAGGGAGTTAAAGGGGAAAGACTGGGCTCAGCCCAGCCAGGCTTAGAGAGGGGTTCTTCCCTCTCAGGGTCAGTGAGTGGCCACCCCTGTTGGCTACATGCACCAAGGCACGTGCAGAGATGCACCACTAATGAAACACATGCTGCTGGCTATGGGAGGCAGTGGGCACTCTGCTAATCAGCTGGACAGCATCTGAATGTCTCCTGGGTATCTGCCCAAGTGCTCAGCTTACAGGAAACTGCTCTGCTCTAGTAGCTAGTTAAAAGCCTTCCAGAAACAGGTGTGATATGGCATTCCACACGCTTTAGATTATGATTCCTAACAGAATTCTTCCTGACTACTCCTCCAAGATGGCTGCTGGAAACAACTGAAACTGAACTGGAGGAAGGAATTGGGCCAGGTTGCAAGGGTGCCTGGCCTGTGAAGAAGATGATTAGAACCATGTTTAGGGCAAGAACTCACATGTAACTACTTTCTTTAGCGTGTCTCAGATTGTGTTCTTTATATTTTTTTAATAATCTACTTTGTTCTGTGTGCTATTCTTTAACTATTTAAATACACATTTTCATAGTAAATAAACCTATTTCTGGTTTATAATATAACCCAGTTTCTGTAATTTCTAACTGGGAGGGGGCGAGAGGCTGTGTATATCTTCCTTCACATTGAGGAAGGAGGCAAATTTCATACAACTTTGAGTTGGTACCCCAGGTGCGCGGGGAAGGACAGTAAATGCTGGAGTAAATCCCTTAAACTTAGTTTTCACAGAGCTGTCAGTGTACTTCTGCAGCTGTGGTGACCCTACCTGTGAGCTTTTCTAGAGGAGGCTGGAGAGCCTGATTTAGCAAGATACAATTCAAAGGGGGCCCAGACTGGCAGAATAGGATCTCAGCACCTCAGCTGGCATCCCACAGGTCTCGACCCATGACAAGAGGTATTCAAGATAAAACTTGTGCCACACTTACAGAAGTGGAAACAACTTAAGATACAGCTGAGGTAAATGAATTTCCAGTTTTAACAAGTCATTCCAAGTACAGTGGTTTGCCATTAAAAATCCAACATCTACCACTTAGTACCACATGAAATTATTTCCTCTTCTAATTCTATAGTCTGAGATACCTCAGTAATCACTGGGTGATAACAGCAGGTAAGTGTGGACTTCGATGGCAACCTCTTATACTAATTGTGTGCATCATGGGTTTGTTTGGTTTCTCTGTAATGCTTTGTGGGTGAAGACAGGAAGAAACATACTGTATTAACCAAATACCTGCAAGTGAGAAACAGCAGAAGTTGAAAAAAAATAGGCAACATTTTACAAAATGAAGGTACTTAGCAGTTCAGTTAGCGATTGTCACAGGTATACTCCTACATTACAGCCTATGTGCTTCTCAGGGAAAACAGGAGTCAATGGTTACAGACTTCCAATTTATTCTTAATTATTGGAAAGGCAAAGGGGCTCGTGAAACAGCTATGCTCACCACCTTAATCATCCTTGGGCTACGAGCACCACAATAAAGCAATCTGGCTACAAAGCACCTTATGTTATTCAAGAACAGCAAGCATGGCATTTGAGCCTAAGGTAGCAATGAGATTCACTTTTGTTAATTACTTCTTCCAAACACACTACCAAGCTTGGTCAGACTTGCCTTTTACTCTGCAAAAGAAGGAATCATGACCAAGTGGGTGTCACACACTCTGCATCAGCAGAACAAACAGATAATGGAGACTGGACAGGCTTGAGGTAAAGCAGGAAAAAAAACTGGTAGAAGAAACAAGAAAGGGGAGAGATTCAGCCTGCCCAAAATTACATCATTTGGGCCACATTTAGACTCCATTATCTAAAACCAAGCAGATGCAGGTGTCAAGCAATAAAAAAAGCTTCAAAGTCTGAGAACCTGACCAAAACAAGGGAAAATTAAGATCTTGCATGGAAGAGGGAAGGATTTCACATTGTTACATTCATGCTTTCAGTGCATATTCATCCTGCAGACACACCCATGGGAAGGTCCAACACACAATGCCAAGCATTAGGATTTACAGATTCTACCATTTCATCCCCAATCAGCTGAAGCAGCTGGACCTGCCTGCCAAACTTTGCTTCTAAATTCCTGCCCAGGAACCTAAGCAGTCTCCAAACACAATATGATGGCCACTTTTTCCAGCTGAAGTTTGAGTATGCATACACCAATGATTCTGCTTCCAAACTCTGTGGATGTCGAATATGTAAATGTATCTTTAATGAGAGAGGATTCCATACCTTGAAAGTAGATGCTCCCTTTGTGTCTCCTTAATCTCCACAAATTGTTTATCTGTAAAATAAATGATATCACAGTTAAAAAGGAACCCAGGATTATAAATAACTATTTTGATGTCACAGATACTTTGATCTTTTATCAGGGCTGACAAGCCCAAATTTTAGTCCATGGCTTTGTACAAGCTAATTCACTGGAAAATTTTACTAAATTTTAATTTGCTGTTTTCCATTTCTGTGGCCTAGAATCCTCTTGCTTGATGTACCCCTCAATGACAACACAAAATAAAACAGACATTAAATTACTAAACCCAGCCCCGAACACTAGCCATAATACTTTAGGAAGCAAGTTGTACAGTAGCCTCTATTAAAAGGCTAGATTACCATTGTTCAAGTCATTCATAAAGATAGAAGGAACCACTGTCATCTAAACTGACCTCCTACAAAACACGCATCACAGGATTTCACCAAATTACTTCCTTTCTCAACTAGAATATCTTTGTTGGGAAAACATGGAACCTTGATTGACAGCTCTAGAGATGGAGAACCTGCCACAATCAATGGTTAGTTATCCTACTAAAAACTTGCACTTCATTTCAAGTCTGAATTTGTCTGGCTTGAGCTTCTAGTGCCTGGATCTTGGTGCACCATTGTCTGCTAGACCAGCGGTTCCCAACCGCTGATTTTGCCTGATGGCAGTGCCGGGGCTGAGGCGGCGGCTCCCATCCTCCTTCTACCCAAGTAAGATGGGTGTGGCATGGAGTTAAAGGGCAAAGGGGTGTTGCGTGAGGGCATGGTGGGGTCACGGGGCAAGAGGGTGTTGGCATGGACTCTACAGGTCAGAGGTTAAAAGGTCAAAGGGAACAGGCACAAGGGTGGGAGTCAAAGGGTGTTAGGCACTGGGGATCAAGGTGCAAAGCCTCGGGGGAAGCCGGCAGCGGGGAAGCCCAGACGCGCCGCGGCTGTCCCTCTGCCGGCGTCCTCAGAGGCTTTGCTCCCCGTCTCCCTGGTCTGCTGGTCTCCAGCAGACCAGGGAGACAGGAAGCAAAGCCGCGGAGGACCCAGGCAGCGGGACCGTGGTGCGTCTCGGTCTGCCGCCCGCGTCTTCCTGGTCTGCTGGGGTGGGGCGCAGCTAGGACGGCCCCCGC